TGCCTTGAAAGCTGACTTCAAAAGGAGACCTAGCAAGAGATAAAAACGTAATTCTAAGATTATTTTTACTAAGACATCTTTTTTCAACCTTTATTGGGTAGAGGTATTGTCTGTCTTTCTCAAACATTACTATGCAGGGTTAATTTGTCAGAAGATTTTCTTAGTGGCAGTTTTATAATTGTACTTTTGTATTTTACTGCTTGTCTTCAACAGTAGAGTAAACTGAAAGTCTGTGAGTTTATTAGAAAAGTGTTAGCATGCTTAATCTCCTGGTAAAATAATTTTCCAGTTAGTGCATGCTTCATGTTTAAAATATGTGCAGTATTTTTAATGTGAAATGCAGTGACACAGTTTGTGTATTAACAACTTCATGACTAAGTAATTTTTTTATGCAAAGCACTACACGAGCTTCTTATATGGAACAACTTGTCATATTATTTAGCTAATTTAAAGTTAATCACTTTGCACGTGCTCCTGAGATACTGAGGCAGAACTATTTAAATGATTTCTTAATCAGGAGACCTTACAAAGGCTGCTTTCCTATGGATCTTCCTCTCAAGGGCAGGAATGTGAGTCTGTTCAGTGATCCTTAGCATATAAACTAGGCAGCAGAGCAGCTTCTTTCTCCCTGCTTCTTTCTACCAGGCCACTTGCTTACACAGAACCTTTTTAGTACTTGGCACTTTTATTGCTATCAAATTCAGCTGAAGTGAAATAAAATATTCCAAAGAGAAAAATGCTGTACCTAGAGATGAACATTAACATAAATTCCTTACTGAAAAAGGCTAGGCTAAAAACACATATCCAACTACTCTCTCACATCTTGCATTGCATTTTTGTACCTAAGGTCTGCTATCAGTTATGGCTGTGTATTGAATATTAAAATACTCCTTGATTCAGACTTTTAGGTTAGAAATGTGTATATGCTCCTTGCCCACTTGAGTTGTATATGTAAAATTACAGTCCAACTCTGAAAATACGGTCTCACATCTAAGCCTGCAGCTGCAAGTAATTGCATTCTGCACAGCTGATAACAGGAGTTGGAAATCAGAAGTCTTTTCCTCAAAATAAGAAAGAAACATGGGTAGTCATTGAAAACAATATTCTGAATGATGTGCTGATGGACATAAAATGTAACAACAGTCAGAGTAAGCAGAAGAATTAATTTGATTTTTTTTTTCCCCATATTACAAGTGTGGCTTCACTGAAACAGATGTAAGAGGAAAATGCCCTCTAGATTGAATTGTTCTCTGTTTGATTGATACATTGGCACTGTTTCTCTTTCAGATGAAGTGGACTACAGTAATTTTGGGACCAACACACTATCGAGGAAGAAGAAAGCTCTGGTGACACTACGCAATGACAACCTCCGCCGGCGTCCCCACATCAACATAAGCATGCCTCATGATTTTAGACCAGTGTCTTCCATAATCGATGTAGACATTCTTCCCGAAACACACAGGAGAGTGAGGCTGTATCGACATGGGTGTGAGAAACCCTTAGGATTTTACATTCGCGATGGCACCAGTGTAAGGGTTACTCCTCATGGACTAGAAAAAGTACCTGGTATCTTCATCTCTCGTATGGTTCCTGGAGGCTTAGCAGAGAGCACAGGCTTGCTTGCTGTAAATGATGAAGTCCTGGAAGTTAATGGCATTGAAGTAGCAGGAAAGACTCTCGACCAAGTCACAGACATGATGATTGCCAACAGCCATAATCTTATTATCACGGTCAAGCCGGCAAATCAGAGGAACAATATTATTCGAAGCAGTAGGATGTCTGGTAGCTCTGGCCAGTCTACAGACAGCACTGCTAGTCACCATAGCTTGCCTACGTCTCACGTGCTGCAGAACTTCCACCCTGATGAAATGGAGAGTGATGAAGAGGCTGACATTGTCATTGAGGGTGGTCTGGAGCCACAGCACATTCCCAAACTGCACAGCCTTACTTCCAGTAGCCTCTCTCGAATCAATGGCAGCAGCCTTAGCCATAGACTTCAAAGGGACCTGGTGCTCAACAACAACTCTGGCCGAGAAAGCAACGGCAACATCCACAAATTACTCAGTTCCTTAAAAACTGATCCCCGACACAGTCTGGTTATCCCCAGAGGAGGTATCGAGGAGGATGGAACAGTCATTACACTTTAGTAGCAATTCCCACAACTCTCTTTTCAGTCTTAAGTGCCAATTGGGATAACTGACTCTTGCAACCTGTTATGCACAAAATAGAGAGCTGATATTCTCATAGACCTCATGGGTGCAGAAGATTGTTGCTTTCTAGGAAACGTGGCATCTGGAGTTAGACATAAAACTGTCATGCAGTGCAAAATTTGTCAGGAGAACGCCAGAGTGTAAAACCTGGTTTATGTCCCAGCCCTAAAGTGAGAACACAGATTTGTTTTAGTTGGTATAAATCGAAGCAGTCTTATAGGCTGCTTAATGGCAGTGCTAGATACCTGGATTTGAATGCATGGGTGGATGTATTTATACGTGCATGTATACGAGTTAGATTTTAATAGTAACAGACATGCCTATTTGAAGTGGAATCTGGTTTTCTTCTAACACCGGTTTAAAGAGAGTGCTTCTTAATAGCCATCCCATCTTCTACTGTTACATACAGACCTTCCACTAACTTGTTTACACTATACTTGCAACCTTATGTCTAATCCAGACAAACTCTATAAAAGTAGCGGTTTCCTACTCTGGTGGTAACAACGTTAGGGAGATGCTGCAAATAGCTTTTCCAAATGAAACTATATATATTTTTTTAATTTTTTTTTTTAAGGCTTGAGGAGGTGAGGCTGGAGGACGTTGCTGTTATTGCTGTGAGATCAGCACCACCTGCTGGTCAGAGGCAGGGCTGCCTGCAGCACGGGCGCCTGGGGAAAGGAAAACGTGTCAATAAGGGCTTAAAACTAGCTTCAGTACCATTATGTGTAAATGTATTCTTTTTTGATATTTATTAGATGATACCTCTTTCTTTTTTTTTTTTCCTATCATCTCTGGTTTTTTAATATCATGGTTCATATGAATTTTAGAGATGCAAGCGAGAGGGCAACAAAAATGGAGGAGTTTGCCAGGACTGTCCCCTTCACCTCAGAGCTGACACAGGTCCCTGTTTCTACCTCTGGGGCAACCTAAATCCACAAGGTCTTTCCTTACAAAAGATTGGCTAATTGCTATATAGGGGAGGGGTGCTGACTGACTGTCAAACCTAACTCAGAATAGTTCTGTTATTTTTTTTGACTCTTCTAGTAATAATAAAGTTTAATGTCTACACAGGATTTCCAGAACCTTAAAATATACTGGATGTTTGCAATGGCCAGACAACTTTACTGGATGCTAGCTAGTGGGTAACCAGTGACTGCTGAGTTGATAACTGTCTGCTTCTGAAAATGCCGTGAATTTATGAAAGTGATTTAATCTAAGATATTTTGTTATACCTTGATCAGTGTAAGGAACAAAATATAAATGTTTTACAATGTATTTTTCTACTTTTAGCTTGTCATTTTCTTTTTTTTTTTAACTTTGTAGTACATTAAAGCTTTTTTATATGGTGGAATAGACATTTCTTAAATATTGTATAGATATGAAAATTAAGAAGTCTTGGTTTGAAAAAATTACATTCCATTTTGGGATCTGTAATGGCTGGACAAATGATGTGTGGACTAATTCATTGTTGCTCATTTAGAATACCTGTGGAACAACCAGTCTTCTGCTTATTGTTAAATATATTTGGGACATTGAACTTAGTATGTTTCTTTTAGATTTGCTTTAAAGGTTTATTTTAAAATTCTTTCACTTGCTCTAATTAAACCTCTTCTAGGTATCAGCAGTTAGAGAACTGTACTTATTTTTCCCAGCACAGTAAGAGAAGAACAATGATCCTGTTTGTCTTAAAGCTGTGTTTGTACTTTACCAAAGGTTTTCATTTTTTAAAAAAAATCTGATTATTGGGGCAGTTAAAAAAAAGCTGGATATGCTTCAGTTAATCAGATCATCTTATCAGGAAAACTGTTACACCTTCAGTAAGTTTACTTTTATATAAAAGTGGATTTTTCTGGCTGAAGTTACTCATTTTACTTTTATTTAACTGATGAAAATGTGACCTGTCTGCAATAAAATGTGCACTGTCTTACTTCTGGGTTTGTAACCTTTCCCCCTGGGGTCAAACGCATCTCCCTTCCCTGGGGAAACGAGATACTCGGTTCTGATGACTCTGCATCTTTTCTCTCTGCCACTACAGACTTCGCTTCCTTCCCTTGTTGTTACTCGTATCAAGTTTCTTCCCTTAGTGTTTTTTTCCCCCCAGTACTGTTTTTACTAAGGGGTCCTTGTTCTGCAGATTTCCATGGGAGCCCAGTGGTTTGCAGGGCTTGCACGCCCCTGCCCAGAGCCTGCTGCCTCCAGCCAGTGGGGAACACAGGTTCTATCTCAGTATTTCACTTACAAGCCGCAGATAGCTCCAAAGATGCACCATCAAGGCTTTGCTGTCATTTTGTAACCTGACTTTAAAGCGGGTAAGCATGTTGTGCTCATTTGCATCAGCTGGGGCGGGGGGAAGCTTCAGTGTGGGTAACCGGAGGGGTCTTACGCTAGTTTTCACTTCAGGCTGCAAGATAAAACATTTAGATTTCATCGAGGCCCCTTCGTCCAGGGGATTAACTTGTTGAGCAGGGGCCTAGAGGCGGGCGGCTGAGGGGCCAGAGGGACGTCCCTCCTCTTCGACAGATCCTCCACAACCGTGCTGGCAGAGGGAGCCGCTTCTCTCTCCGCCGGGGCTGCGGAGCCTGAGGCCGGAGCAGCCAGAGGGGAAGGCGGCACCTCTGTGCCCGCTCACCGGCCGTACGCCCGCTCCCTCCCGGGGCGAAGGGGCCCGGGCAGGGCCCTCCGCAGGCCGCGGGGCCGGGCCGCTCCTGCCTCCGCCCGCACTGCGCCTGCGCCGGCCTCGCCCCGCTCACGTGAGGGGCCGTTGGCCCGGCTGAGGCGCGGCGCGGGGGGGGAAGCGGTGCGGCGGGATGGCGGCGGCCGCAGCAGCGGCTGAGAGGGCCGGGGCCGAGCCGCCCCCAGCCTGTCCCAGCGGCGCGGACAGCGGGAACGTCTCCCAGAGCCACAGCAGCGCCTCCGGCCTCGGGGAGCCGGAGGACGAGGACGCTTGGGAAGCGTCGCTCGGCGCCACCGCCGCCGCTTATTCCGCCTACCTGCTGGCCGACCGCAGCCTCTTCAGCGAGCAGGTGAGGGACGGGGGTCTCCTGCCGGGCCCCGCGGGGAGGGGGTGCAGCCGCCCGGCCTTCCCCCTGCGGCCCCCCCAGCGGGTGTCCGGCCGTGTCGGGAGCGGGTGGGACGGGGAAGGGGCTGTCACGGCAGGGGGGTGGGCCCGAGAGGGGCTCCGTCAGGTTCCGTGCGGGACAAGGTGTCTGGTCACCGTGCGCTCAACGCGGGCAGGAGATGGGAAAGCCCCGGGGTTTCTGTCAAACTGGCTTTAGGCGGGGTGGTGTCTGCGCTTGGGGGGTTCTCTTTTCAAATACCTTTAAAAGATTTCTTCTTTGTAGATAGAAAGCTTAGACAAGAGTCTAGAGGATTTGCTGACCAGAGTGGATGAATTTGTGGGAATGCTGGACATGGTACGTATCACTTGCATGTAGCTTGTTTTTGAAGTCGGAACGCAGTTTAACATGCACTCGGTCTCACTTAAAAACAAGGGATGGGAAGCAGACTTTGATGTAGGCAGACAGGTTCCAGTATGAAAACACACTTGATGGTTAAATAACTAATGGGTGAAAACTTCTGAGCTTTCATGTCGCAGCAAAATATGCCCATATTTTGCTTATATAACTGCATATTTACGTGATTCTGTTTGTATATTTGTCCTTTACATACATGGAATCCAATTTTGAGTGGCACAATGGTAGACACTTAAAAGGACAGTACAATATTCCGCTTCGCCTTTAACAAAACCCATCCTCTCTGGGTTTTGTAATCAAAGTATCTAATCACAGTTGCCAAACCTCTAAAGCTAGATTTGTCTTTAGGAGACCCTTTCATCAGAAAGGCAGCTTTATTTTCACTTTTACATGGGAGGAAACAGGGGAGCTGAATGGAAAGTTTCTATAAGCTGACACTAGTATACAGGCTGTCTTTTAGAGCATAGCACATGTGGTTCTCCTCCATTACTCTAAGGGGAACTTTACTGGTTGGTTTGGGGGGCGGTTTTAACAAATAATAAAAAAGATTCTGTGGCCTGGCTTTTTTTTTTTTTTTTTTTAGCAAAGTTGAGGAAATATAAGGTAGTAAAATTTGAGTAAAAATTTAGTTGAATATATTTGATTCTTTAGTGTGTCTTGAGAAATTTTACATCTCTTAACTCTTGTAAGGCTGAGGCAGCCTATTTTTAATACAATTTTAAAGGCAAATGTTTGCCTACGCAAAATAAATTTTGTTCAAAGGCACTTAGTAAACTGTACAAAGGAGCTAGCTTATTAATTTTAATCTAGGTTTTTTTATGCTAATACTAAGCTAGTATTTTTAAACTATGAGTTTAACCTGTTTATTCTGGAAACTAGAACTGTGCTCAAATTAAACGTGCTACTCAATATTTTGTTTTATTCATTGACTTTCATGTTGTTCCTTTGAATCATTTTAGATTCGAAGTGATTCCTCTCAAGTTGTCAATGAAAGTATACCTCAAATTTACACAAAAGCTACAGAAATGAGACAGATATACAGGAAGATTGACAAACTAGAGGTATGTATTTGATATCTTCTAGATCTATTTTGTTTCTCAGATACTAATAGTACCACTTCTTTTTGATGTTTGGGGTTTTTTTATTTATAGTTTCTTTTAAAGTTATTGTCTTGGGAGGTATTTGGAGACTAGCAGAATGAGAGGTTTGTTGATCTCTGGTAAAGCTTCAAAACTGTGATTCAGATCCTTGGTCCCACTTTTAGTAGAAAGGCAGATAGAAGTCTAAATTCTAAGAAGTCTAAATTAGTTATTTGAAAGGAAAATAGGAAAAGGAAGACTGATTGTTTAACCTGGTTTTGCAGTCTTTTAAGTATCTCAAGTAATTTTTAGCAGTAAAATGGATTTGTTGTAGGTGGAAGGGTAATAGAGTGTGGAGTTTTTGACTCCTCCTCACTTAAGTAATGGAACTTTTACCACGGTTGTGAAATAGATAATCCTGTTTTAAATTGTTAGTGAAAAAGTTGGATTTCTTTGGGTTTTTTCACACTAGGCATTTGTGAAGATGATTGGAAACAGCGTATCTGAACTGGAAGAACGGGTCATAAAGGCAGAAACAGATCTTGGAGCTTTTCCAAGCACATTCAAGAAAATCTTGCACACAATCAGCATACCATCTTTCCTTAATGTAAGTAAGCTTTTGTTAGCATGTGACTGACTTAGTTGCTCTGCTTACCAGGGTGGACGATTAAAATAATAAGTAGTTTGTTACACATGTATCTGAATTTAACTGTAAAACTTCTATATACTGTGTTAGGGTTTTTGTGAAGTTCTCAGGCTTAATAAAAAAAACCAACAAACCAACCTAACAAAAAAACACAACAAAACCAAACCAAACCAAAGACAACCCAAACACAGATTCTTACAAGGGCTTGTGTAACTTTCTGAAATACGGATGAATACACCAAGAAGGGAACATGAAGGGTGCAAACAAGCACGTAACGCACAAACCTTTATATTAAAGCATCCCTCATTCTGATGGTATCTAAAGGAAGCAGGAAGAGCCTGTATTGACAATGCTGTTAAAGGATCATACTGCATTAATAATACACTGCAGAAACGTTATCAAAAAAGGAAATGAAAGCTCCACTGCACATTATTTTTAAAATAAAGGTCCTCTCTGTACTCAATCCTCACAGTTCAGTAATCACATAACACCTTGTTAAGCTTTCTAAGAATGTGTTTTGCTCTGTCTTTCCGATATTACACGTGGACTGTTTCTCTACAAAAGACTTGAAGTGCTCTCTTTAGTATGTTTCAAAGAGATACCTTACCTAGCCTTAAACTGGCAGTGTGCCCTACTTTTAAAATAACCTTCTGGCTTCAAAAGATAAAAAAAAATAATCTTACATACACCTGAGGGTTCTTGGCACCACCTGCCAATACACCATTTATAAGTACTCTTCCTTGCATCATGTCAGCTCCCAGATTATTTTCTTTATCTTTTCCAATATTCATGCTGTACTAGCTCAGGTTTTTGTATCATAGTACCGTGAGAATGATGAAACTAAGTAGGTTTGCAGAGGGGGAGAGGAAGACAGTTGTGGCTGTTGGAGGTATTTTTGTTCCTACATATTGCAAGTGTGTGGCAGCAGAGAAAATTAGATGTAAAAAGAGTGCGTATTGTTTTGGTAAGATTCAGTTCAGGAAACCTGTTCTTCATTGCTATTTTCATGCTGTCTTTCAGTTAACTTGTCATTCCTTCATTTTCTTTGGTGTTTAAGTTTAGAGTGATGTAATATTTTTTTTCCTTTTTAAAAAACAACACAAAGCTGCTATTTATGGGCCAATTTCAAAATCAAGCAACTACAGCGGTTGTCTTGAATATTCAACAGTATTTTTGATTTCATTGCTAAAAACGGTTGTCAACCACAGAATTATAATCTTCATTTGAAAAATTTGAGAGTTCTAAGACAGTGGTTTTTTTAGTGTTGCATGGGAACATTTTGTCAGCTTAGCAGTTTGACCACAATTAATAAGGTGAAAAGTCTTTGGAAGTGTCAGGAAACTGAATTTGGCGTGTCCAGTGGTTTCTTGGTTTGAGTATGGATAGCAATAAAATCAACCCTCAGAAATTACTGGTATTAATTGACTAACTAAAAGGCAGGTCACTGTTCTGCAGTGGTACTTAGTATTTCAAAGTAAAAGATTTGTTTTCACTAGTAAATACAGGCATGTCTGAATGAAAATCCCTATAGAGATTTCTCCTGATGTCTAACATTTAACTAGTTCGCTCAATGTATCAGTCCTTTGGAAAAGAAGGCTATACTAGTGTCATGATCTTTCACTGTAGCTGTAGTTCATGTTTTCCTGCTACAATTTTAATTTAGTCGAGTCCCTTCACTCACTTCCCATTTAAATGTGTCTGTTCTTTACACAAAGGATATATTTTGTATTTCTGAAGCTGTGCCTTTGTAATCCCCCTTTCAGATTTTGCCCCAAGTTCCTCCCTTGTGACTAACAGGCAGTCTAGAGTACAGTACTGTAAGACTTCCAGTCTTGGTAGTACAGTCTTCCAGACCAGTATTGGGGAAGACTCTAATTTTCTCATCACACACAGGCAGAAAAGTGCCTGAAGAACTCTGCAAACAAACTGAGAGCCCTGCACGATAGTTCATCAAAATCTTTTCATGAATCTAAAATAATTTTTAACGAGTGAAGTCTTGATTTCAAGCCTTCTATTTAAGACCAGATGTTGAAAACGTATACTGGGTTTGTGTTGCCCTGCAGGAAGGGTGTTCCGTGTGGGAAGGCTGACACAATAGCCAGTAGTGGTCCTTGTGGTTGTCTCTTTCAATGAGCCAACTGGTATAGCAAAACAATGTATACTTAATATGTAAATGAAATGTGTATGCTTTTCCTGAAGAACAGTGTAACAGCTCTTTTCTAGTCCACTACCATATTTTTTTCAAGGGTATGTCATAGTACATGTATTCTAACATACACTTGATGAAGCAGCTCAGCAGGAGCAGTAAATTTCTCAAAAGAAACATTTGCTAGGTGTGTTTCCAAATGAAGACTTTTTTAACTAAGCACATGAGAACACAGGCTTAGGTTAACTTGAAGCAGCTGAGGAGCACTCAAAGGCTGGAGCAGGAAAGGTAAAGGTATATGGCTTTGGAAGGATGAAGGTTACAATGACTGTACCATCAGGTGGAAAAGATTATCCATTTGGCTCATTTGGTATCTTATGCTTTCCAGGACTCTGTCTGTTCAGGTGATTGGCAGAAGTCAAAGGCTGCTTTTCTTCACTAGCATTAAGAATATGCCAGACCCATCTGAGCTATGATTACAAATTTGTCTGACTAAGGAGATAATGCTTTTAAAACTTTTCTTGTCTTGCATTTTAGCTCTGTTGGCTTTGTTTTAAAACTTGCTTTTTTTTTTTAAGAAAGCAAAAAATAAACTTATCTTATTTGCAGAAATCGTCTTCCTCACGACAACGACAGGCCCTTTATGAACCTCCAGTCCTCTTCAAGACTGAAGACTATTTTCCATGTCTTAATGAAGCACCTTATTGATGATTTTTACTTTGGGATTGATATGAGTCAGCCAGAACAGAAACAGCCAAGTGAACAAAAGAAATGCTAACCTCAAAATAGCTGCATTTCTGAGCATTATTGATGGCATATTGCCATTCTGATTCTCATTGTCTTCCTTCAGGCAGTATTTTCAGGTAATCTTTCTTTGTGTACATTATTTCAAAGGTCTTCCTTAAACACAGTATAAATTTTCATATTATCTTGGGGAAGGAACTTAAGAATACTTCTGCATTTTTGTTTTTAAATAGGGGAATAATAGGAAACATATGTTACATATAAATCTTTTAACACAAATACCTGTGCTGCTGCAAGTGTAAAAAGCTATATGACAAGGATGGGTTTTTTTGGTTTTTGTTGTGCTGCTTTTTTTTTTTTTTTCCTAATGTACTGATTGAAGTGAAAGAAAAACTGCATAAAATCGTGTACTCCCGTGTTTTGGAACCTGGTCCCTGCAGTTTGTCCAGAGAAATGCACCACATTGGGATGTACAAGTTGCAGGGGGAGGACTTGGAAGATCAGCGAGGAGTCAAGGAGGTGGCTCGATGCTTTGTGAGCTGGGACTAGATCATGTGCAAACATCAGGCCCCCACTGATGTTCCTTAGGTCACAGTGACCTGAGCTTCTAATTATTGCAGCGTTGTATTGTTTGATGTGTAATCAGGTGGCCATGATATGTGTGTGTGTGTATTTATATATCAAACCTGCTGTCAAGAAGTATCTAAGTTGAGGCAGGGATGTCTCCCTGGGCTGAGCCTCTATTGGGCACCTGACCAGGCTGCCCACTTTTCCCCTGCAACCCTCCCTGCGGTCATTGGGGCTCCCCGTGCTGATTGCAGTGTGAGTATGTTATCAATAAACGAATAGCTGTCTAACCCCTCTTGTGGTCTTGCTTTTCACCTGACAGTATCTAACTGTGCACCATTGTTCCTGAGAATGTTTTTGCATACAGCCTAGCAGGTGTTAATCATAAAGTTGTTGTATTCCTCTAAGCAACAATTTTACCGCTGCTGTTTTACTGCCTGTGTAACTCACTGCAAATGTCCAAAATTCAAATTTCAGAAGAATAAGAAATGCATAAGGGAAGCAATAACATCTGCTGGTTTTGTGTTGCAAGCACAGAAAAAAGTATGCAGTTGTAGAGCAAGGATTATATATTCATAGATAAAGCTTTGAAAAACATTATCATCTTGTCTCTCAACAACAGCAGAGACCGGGTTCTCTACAGTATCTGAAGCAACATTGAGTAAAAATTAAAACAAATATTGTGAAGTCAAAATTAGTAGACTCCAAAAGCAGTTCTAATGTAAAACTTACCTGAAATTTAACTAAAAGAGTCTAGAAAAATAGTTACATGCAAACATACAGAAAGGAAAGGAACAGACATTTACCTGAAGAAGGGCTCTCCCTTGCCCCCATGAATACTTACATATTTTACTATTTTGATGTTCCACTGCACCAACAGTTGCATTTCCAAAAGATGCAGTACCTTTCAGTTTATGCATAAATAATCCTTGAAAGCTTATCACTCCTCAGTGAAATCTAATGGAATTACATACCTATAACTTAGTGTAACACATATGGCTACAGCCGAATACTCTTAAACACAGTAGTACTGACACGACAAAAAAAAATAAAATTAGCTTTAGAACACCTTTCTAAGGTGAATTTATGAATCAACTGCTTAAATAGCAACTTTGTCCTCTGCTAAATACAATAAAAATGCAGTTGTAATTTATAATATTAAAATAATTAAGATCTCAGCAAGCTTATGTAGCTGACTGTTGTTTATATTAATAAGAGAAAAAATTCATGTATTCTGAAGTGGGCATTTAAGTTAAGCATTTTTAAGGAAAATGTAAGATACCTTCAAAGCACACCACAAACACAAATCATGTAACTCCTATAACTAGTATAGCTCTGTCTTGTAAATGCTCAAAAATATTTTTATTACTGCAAGTAAAGGATAGTACATTGAAGATTTATTACAGGAAAAGTCATAGAAGTACAGACAATAAATTGTAGCTTTTTTAAATACATGATACAGAATAACAAGGTGGCAGTTCATCTGTGAACTGTGGTCTACAAAAGTTATAAAAGTAAGGCATTCTCATAATACTGTCAAGATCCACCCTGCTGTCAATTTGCATCAATTTGCATGCCCTTGGCTGTCTCCTTGTCCATGGTCAGTCTCACTAAGCAGGAAGAACAATGAAAAAATCCTAAGTCTTCACACTCAGCAAAGAAAGACTCAGAGAATATTCCTTTATTCTGTCTGCTCTTGTTACCTTGTATTAGAGTAAAACCAGTAAGAACTATATTATGAATTAGACTCAATATTTACTATTTTTGCCAGATAAAATCTGATCTCAAAATCCATCAGTACTGATATTCGTATACCCAGAAAGCTGTACTTATCTCTTTCTCTGTACAATGTTTATCTTTCTCCTCTTGCTTGGATTCCAAGGCATGAAACCAGTAACAGTAGTACTATGTTACCTGTTTTTAACATGAACAGCTCTTCAGATAGATAGAACCGATGTAAAGCAAGACATTATTTTAATGAGCTGAGCTCCTAAAGGTTGGTTAATGAGTGTATAAAACCAGTTAATGTTTAATATCTTACTTTTCTTCTATGACATGAAGCAAAAATTTTGAAGTTACCCTAGCAGAGATAAAAGTTTTTATATTCTTAGGTACCTTTTGGGCAAATGTCTAATTGAAACTAATGCTGCGGCTTGCTAAAAGATACCTGTTTGCTGTAAGAGGTATGTATATATTTATAACAAAATTTTCATTCACATGGATGGACTGAATGTTAGAAGGCCACATTTTTCATAAGTCCTGGGCAAAAATCAGTGTGATCTGTCTTTCTTACCTAAATATTTAGGTAATATGATGAAGTATGTCTGAAGTAGGCACGTAAAGATTGATGTTTGTATTTGATTACTTTTGGACCTACACATTTTGTTCCACTCTTGAGCAATGCTACTGCAGTTGCTATAAAGCCTAGAGAAATTATAGAAGGATATAGCAAGCTTAATTTGGGTTCTGTCCTGCACAGGAACCGCTTCCTAATACTAAGATCTTGACCTGTAGAAAGCGATTCTGAGTGAAACACCTTCCAGAACGAGAAAGAAGAGCAAGATAGGTTGTATCTACAGCTGTGAAGATAACATTTGAAAATGGTAAATATTTTAAGGTTCCCTTACCAAAAAAAAAATATATTATTTAAGGGATGACGCTTTTAAACACCCTTAGTTTTTGTAGGAAAAATTCTAGTCTTGGACTAGCTACCAAGAAAATCCTCTATGCCTAGAGACAAGTCCTGCCTTGAAAAGCCAAAGTCACTGTCAGATTTGCCAATGGTCAAAGGGGATACTCTTTGTAGCAGTCTGTGTAGCCACCGCAGCTAAATCCATCCGGAATGAGGAGTCTTCAACTGTTGGGATTCAAAGCCTTGTAGGAGGTGGGTTAGAGGGACAGGCTGTGCTGCAGCAGCAGAGCAGAGGCTCTCTCCCTCCCTGTAGATGTTCCTTTACGCCGATGGGTGGTAGTACAGCCTAAAAGTGGTAGCACAGGCTCCAGCTCATCTCGGAGATTTAAGGAATTTTCTTTGCCTTCGTGCTTGAGGTTTTCTACTCACAAACTTTTAATGCTGGTCATTTTCAGGATTTTGCAAAATGGTATCAGTAGTATTTGAATTATGCATGATGATCGGTGCCTTAGAAGTGCTAATGAACACACAAAGAAGAAAAAAGGGAAACAGAAGGTTCTGCTTATGGGCAGTACTGAGCACCACCGGTGAGACAGAATGCAGTCACTTGCAGAGACAGAGTTTGAAAAAGAAAAATTGAAATAATGCCTTTGGAATTATACTAGACAAAATGAAAAGACAGGGAAAACAAAGTATCCTGTCTAAAATTCACATGAAAGACTTGAAACGTCATTTAATTTTCGTCAACTTTAATGTTGGCTGTACGTTATATGATGGACCAGTAGTTAAGTAATAGGAAAAAAAGACATTAAAATTCCATAAATAGTCATAAAGTATGATGTTTTCAATCAAATGTGCTATCTATACAGGATATTAAATAGTCTTGAAAAAACGTTTATTGAAAATACAGGTAAATAAATGAGCTGACAGAGCTAAGAAAATGAACCGAATGTTAGCAAGGATTCCCTTAGAGGGTCCAGAGTAAAAAGACAATGGTACAGAATTCAGCTGGGGGAGGGGAGGAGGCACTTGCTGAGTATCAATGAAGAAAAGAAAGATAACTTTCTAATTGGATTTATTATCTCCCAAAGTTCAGAAACTGTAGGTTTCTTGAGAATAGTTTGATGCTTACATTATTGAAAGATAAATTAATTGCCATCTGTTACAGATCAGGATTTTCTTTACAAGCAAGTGGTCTAGAAAGTAACCTTTTTAAAAAAAAAGAAAAAGCAATAGCTGAAATTCCCACAATCCTGGGACTTTCAAACTGAGAGCTGGCTCTAAGTGTGACAGGAGCATCTGAAATGTTTCTCTGAGTGTGAGTCAATCTAAGAGGTTTTCAGAGGACTGCAGACTGGCAGAAAAGTTGGTCCAGATTGATTCATAAAAAAAAAAAAAAAAAAAAAAAAAAAAAAAAAGAAGAAAAAAAGGCATGGTAAGAGCCTTGTGCAGAAATGGGAGAGGCAGAAAATAGCATAGCCAGGAGATAAGCCAGGGCAAATGCTGAGGTGTAAACTTGTGGTGACAGAGCTTTGAGCCACACGAACAGATGAGGGCAATATCCCTGAACTGGGAGGTACTAATGAAGATCCACAACAGACCTGACACAGGTGTGATTTTGTTATTTGTTTACAGTTTCCTTTTTGCCTCAGGGTGCACTCCTTCCAGGTACACAATTTTAGGAGGGGTTTTAACTGTACTAGAAGAACTGTGAAAGGCCAGTCTGGACCAGGTCACCACTACCGCTTCTGTTATGAAAGCAACTGGACTTGCAGGTAAAGTTAGGCAGACCATTAGACTGCTCTGGCTAAAAATCAGTTCTTCCAAGCCAAACAGTCCTGCCCCAGCATTGATGTCCAGACACAGGAGTGAGGGGTGACAGCCCTCTACTCCCACAAGTCCCCATGAGAAGGCAAGCAAAGCCAAGTGCCAGCAGGACCCATTTCTCCTGGTGGTGTGCAGCCAGGGAAATGCTGTAGGCTCGCACCTCACTAACTGAGTAGTGGACTCCTTTTTCCACAAGGTCTCCTATGGAATTAGCCCTTTCCTCCACAGGGAGAGCTGGGACTGTTCAGCCTGGAGGGATCTCATCAGCGTGTATAAACACCTGAAGGGAAGGAATGAAGAAGAGGGAGTCTGACACTTCTCTGCAGTGCCTGCTGATAGGACAAGATGCAATGTGCACAAAAATAAAACCCCCTTGCTGAAGCATCTTCTCTGCAGCATCCCACATCCATTTTTTTTTAACCTTGTTCCCACAAGCTTCTTTTAGTATCATCTAATTCTTGTATTGGAGGACACAATCAACAGTCATCTGTGTTGCTCATCATCTTGTAATAATGCCTGTAATTTCCCTTTCCATTATCTCTTCCCTTGGCTGAAGAATCATAGAATGGTTTGGGTTGGAAGGGACCTTAAAGATCATCTAGTTCCAACCCCCTTGCCATGGGCAGGGCCACCTTCCACCAGATCAGGTTGCTCAAAGCCCTGTTGTTTTGCATATGAAGCTTCCATGCCCTTGTTGCCTTTCTCTGATTTTTCCACTTCTGCTGTATCCTGTTTGAGATGAGGAAAGCAGGACCGCCTGTGTAATTCAAGGCACAAACAAATCAGAGGTGTAAACAGTTCCACAATCCCATTCTCTGCTGCTGCCTTTGT